TATTCTAAATCGGGTTTAGACAAAGTTTTAAGCCCACAGGCTTAGGCTCAAGCTCTAAACATTAGGTCCGACTATTTTTTCAGGGTAGGCTCGAGCTTTCCCAAATAAGCCAGCCTGACCTGATTATATTATATATAATTAAAAATATAATGTATATGAATAATACATAATATATAATAGTATAATAATAGAATATTAATAATAATGTATAATTAATATAACTTAAAATATCTATCCAGATTGGGCTTTGAGCTTGGGCTCGGGCTTAAGATATAGGCCCAATGGTTGGTCAAGCTTAGTCCTTTTCTATTTACGAAGAGGCAAAGCCTGGCCCAAACCTGGCTGATGAATAGGTCTAAGCACAACATTAGTTTTACAACTCATCTTGGTGAATTGTTATATATTTTGTACACGAGTCTCGACCATTTAGCTCTTTGCATATGGAGCTTGGACCTTTAAATATACAAACCATCCTTAGTCTTATCTACAAAAAAAAAAAAAAAGAAAAAAGAAAAAGAAAAATGGTATGTTTTTGTTTCATCTAATAGGTCCAATTCATAATAATACTAAAATGACATCACATAATAGCATGATACAATATCAAGTATGAAAATATTTTAGGATTTAAATTATTTTAAGCAATTGTTGAAAGGATTTCCAYTGCTAAGTAGCAACCAGAAAGATGGGAAGATGTTTCAAATATTTTATACCTATTACAACCCTCTTAATTTCTTGCAAAACCTCTTAAATATAAATGAAACAAGTCCACTATGTGTTGGCATGGATTTTGATAACCTACTAACACATACAGGGAGCTTTTAACTTATGTCACCTTCAAATAAGCCTTCTAATTTACCAAATCCCCTGAGTTGATTAAAGGATGAGCTTGTTCAATTGTATTCAATGGATTACCTATTGTTTGTCCTGATCAAAATATAAGCGATAGGTTGTATTTCTAAATTTTTATGCACTACCAGCCATGAAAAAAGATAATGCCTTATGAYTTGATCTAATGATGATACTTTGTTCTTATATATCATAAGTTTCCTCTCCCTCCAAACTATCCATATGATCACCAGTGTTTGTATGCTCTACATTGTTCTACCTCTTTTATTCAAGCCCTTTAAATTCCACCCAACACTTAACTCCACCACTATCCTTGGGCTGCACCACTTAGAAGTTTCCCACCTCACAAAAATTTGCCTAACTTAACCAACATGAATGAGCAATGAATAACCCAATGATCTGTTGTTGGTAGCCCTCAATGTGAAAACACATTATGTTGAATGGATATCCATTCCTCTTAAAATCAATGTGTCTTTAGATAGAAACTTACATAGCGAAAGGGACTTTAATTGCAACAGGAGGAGCCTATATTGCCTTACTTGGGAATCCCCCCCTCTTTCCACTCCAGATCTAGCTGAGCTACCTTCAATGGAGTTAAATTTTCTTAGAATACACCCAACTTCAAAAAATGTAAGAGTAGGAAGCCACCCATCTTTGTACAATATTTTTATGTTTATGGTCATTTATTGAAATGGACCCTTGAGGTTTTTCATTTAGATTCTAATTTTTGGTTACTTAATAATAACATTCTTCTTGTTCATCTCAATTTTGGGTCATTGTTACAACTTACAAGTTCATGCCCCCACAAATATTTGGAAAATCCATCTTTCTATAATATTTTTTATGTTTTTGGTTAATATCAAGGACCCTTAGGGTTTCTATCTAGTTTTTATTTTGACTTAGATTCTAATTTATGGTATAACGCTATTCTTTTGGTTCATCTCATTTTTTTGGTTATTGTGACAAGCATTTGTGTTGTGGTACACTTTAGTTAGTTCATATAAATATAGCTGCAACAAGTACGAGAGAATTTGAGTTTCTTTTTATGTCAAATATCATATTAAGCCTGGCATTTGCTTTGTCCATTTTTGTCATTGGCATTAAGCTTTGTTACATTATATCATAGTGATTCTTTGTAGGTGATTTAGCTTGAGTTRAACCACTAGTATTATGATGATTTTCTTAGGTGGCATACTTCTTTGTGGTTCCCCTAGAGTGGGGAAGACAATTACTAACAAAAGTTGTGGCTAGTGAGGCAGGTGTTAATTTCTTTTCAATTTCTGCATCGCAGTTTGTGGAAATATATGCTGGTGTTGGTGCTTCTTGTGCCCGACCACTTTACCAAGAAGCAAAGGAGAATGAAAGTACTCTGTGGAGTTCCTTCATTTTAACTAATTTTTCTTTCTTTACTTGTGCAATTTGGTAACCTACCTTTTGTATAAGAATATAACTTATGTTATAACAATTAATTCCACCATTATATCTAATGTCAGCATCATATTGCACATAATTTCAAAAATTCCTTCCTTGTTATTGTTGTTATTGTTGTTACTATTGTTAGTAATTAGTAATAGTACTAGTAGTCTTTATTTGTTACAATTATACCAAATTAGTCATGGATTTAGAGAAGGAAAATAAAGAAAAAGAATGAAGAAGAATATGCTTAGGAGGAAGAGAAAGAAGAAGAAAAGGGATAAGAGCGGAGTTAAATCATCTTTCTCTCTCTATATAATAAAAAAGAAACAAAATTACATGGGTCCTAGTTATGTGGCTGACCCAAAGCACATAAAGAAATAATAAGTTTTGAGGCCCACAAAGAAGGCCTATTACAGCTGAAACATAGTTATTAAATAAATAAACAAAACTAAGGCTCATTTGGCCCAATCTCTCTAAACTCCCCTTCAAGCTGAGCATAGATGTTAATTATGTCCAATTTGCTTACATAGTTACATGGTGTTAGAGCTTTGCCTTGGGACTCTCTTGGTCAAGATATCAACTAGTTGTTCCTCTAAAGAAGTGAAAGGACTACATACTTCCCCCGAGGCCACTCTTTCTTGTATGAAGTGTTTATCTACCTCAATATACTTATTTCTATTATGTTGAATTGGGTTATGAGTAATGCTAATGGCAATCTGATTATCATAATACAACATCAGTGGCCTATCATAAGCAATGCGCTTATCTTCTAATAGAGATGTGAGTCATAATAACTCCGGAACCCATGGGATTAGGCACAAAATCATACTCTACACCTCATTATTTAATATTTATACAACCAGGGTAGTGCTTCAAAAAAAATGAGGGTAGAGGGTAGCCCATTCCCCATCCACAATGTTTTAAAACTAATTGGAACCAGAACCACTTTGGCCACTGATTTTTGGGTTAGTGGTTTAACCATATGGTCTGAATGGATTGGTTTATGACAATTTAAAAAACTAAAATAGTAAAAAATTGAAATAAAAAATTACCTAAGTCAACAAATTTTAGGCAAAAAATGGTATGAATTACTAGTTAGGTTTTATGTTTAGACTTGGGCTCACCAGACTTGCAAATTTTAGGGTAGGGCTTGGGCCTAATACTTTTAAAGCTAGACACAATATATAATACAAAGGTTTGGCCCATGATCACCCCTAATCCCAAGCTTCCACTAGGGGCGCAAGTGGGCAGGTTGGGCCGGGTTTATGGTCAACCCAAGCCTAGCCCTACGGAYCGAGCCTGAGGTCAAGCCTAATTTTCCCAACCCAAGCCCAACCCACATTATAATTTGATGCATTCGAGTTGGGCTCGGGCCCGGGCCGGACTCGGATTGGTCAATGAACCCAATCTAAAATATATATATGTATTTATACAAATATATATGCATATATTTGTATATATATGTAAATATGTATGCAAAATATTTATTCAAATATTATATATAGTATGTAATATATATGTAAATATACACATATGTATGTACTAGTAAACATGTACGTGCATTTGCACGTGACAGTATTTCCAAGACAAAACTATTTACAATTCATGGACAATTTTTGAATAGTTACAAGTGGACAGTTTCTTAACTGTTATAAGTGAACAACTTTTGAACTTATAAGTGAACAGTTTCTTAACTATTATATGTGAACAATTTTTAGAGTGAGAATAAAGAACATATATACCCTTTTTATGCCCGTTATATATTGTTTAGATAAGGGATAAAAATGTCTAACAAAAAGTCAAAAAGATGAAGTTATTTGCTCTTTTATTAGTAGTATAGGTAAATGTATATAATTGGGCGGGCTCAAACTGGATTCGGGCTACTAGGCCCGCCCAAGTTGCACCCCTAACGCTGCAAGTACAAGGAGTAATAAGACTATAAGTCTACAATCAGAGGACCAACCAGCAAAAATTAACGATGGGGTGAGAGAGGCTTGAACTCTCGACCTCAGGATAACTCAGAAGCTATGAGACCTACGCGCTAGCCAACTGCGCCAYCACCCCGATTGAAACTTTGTGCAAGTTAATAGATTTAACTCGAACTCTAGGCTAGCAACAACCTGTCAATAACAATGAAGTTTATAAGTTTATAGCCAGTGGGCTGCAAACAACAGATTCCGTCAACACAGGCAACAATGACTGAGCTTCTTATTTTCATCTCTCTCTCTCTGAGTGTGTGCATGTGTGAGAATCACCAAAGATGCTTGGTTTCAACCATGAAGAAACTTAAAAAAAAAAAAAAAGACTTAACTAATTGTAAGTGCTATAGGCCCTTGCATAAGTCACATTCTCCAAAACATCAGATCCACCCCATTCAGTAGTAACCAGCAAACATAAGAATTATTATTAAACCCTATCATACAGGGTTGTTTTGATAACAGCTGAAGTGACTTAATTAAAAAGCTTATTTTAACAACTTTCAGTTCAACAATTTCAATAGTTTTCAAATGGTCCCAAGTAGATTTAACCTTCAGGACAATCGATGCTTCATGCTTGAACAGTACAGCCTCCTGAAAACAACTTTGAAATTCAAAAGGCTACATATTTCCATGATGGAAAATGTAAATTTCATTTAACAAGCAATGAATGATAATTATAATACACAAACCTTTTATGTTGGATTTTTGGCTCTTGCGAAAAAGGCCAATTTCAAACACCCTAATAAGAACCTTGAAGGCTTGAACATAAACTAAATCACTGGTATTAATAACCACATAATTAAACAGGCAGTTTATAGTCTTGTACAAGCCAAAAAAAACAAAACAGTTTTTACTTTTGCACTGTTACTTCTTCTAAGAAAATCTTTGGAACTTATGATACATTCAAGCACTATAACCTCGGGTGAAAGGACTCCACACTGCTGACAGGGGTCCGCTACAGGCAGCCCTACATGCTGCCTCCATTGCATCCTCTGAGATTCCACTGTTGCAAATGTTTGCAAATGCACGCATGTGCCTCATCCCATATTGAGTCAATGACCCGCAGTGATATTCAAACAATCGGACCTGTTCGCCAAATTTAAATGTTACTGGGTGGGCAATGCTTGAAATTAACCAAAAATACATTAAGTTGGGTAACCCGCATTGATTCAATTTCAAACATTACCATTGCTTTTAGGCAACCCCAGTCATCAACCAAGGGCAACCCAGATGGCCTCACTGCACTGAGGATGGAAGCAGATCTTTCTGTTCCAAATAGAATATTGCCAATCAGTTCAACACTACCATCAATATGGGTCCTATGCATTACTGTCTCTGCTATTCGCTTGAAAGCTTCTTTCTTCTTTGATCCATCCTCTGACTTCTTGTACTGCAGAGAAGCAGAAAATTCATGGATGAGAGAAAACAGGAAAAGATTCTGAAAAAGCCGACTATCAATATTTATGAACCTTTAAATAGTTTTCCATTTCAAATAGTTGCAACATGTGTACATAGATTATCATGAAAAGCAGACCAATACCCAAAGGGGTACTTTCTACTGGCAGTGAAACTAAGAGTAGTCAATCAGAAATCCTAGAGGCTAACATCAAATTTCTGAATAAAATGATAGCCAAAAGGATGATTCAATTTTGAAAAATCTGAACACGATATGATAAATTAACGTACGATCTATGATTCTTGAATATTCAGGCTAGCTATCCCATAACTTGTTCACTAAGAAGCTGCTGCCAGCTTTGCAGATAAAGAGCTTATGCATTTTCACTCACCCTTTGCCACAAGAAGAGGAGATCTGCATCTCTCTGGTTAACAACTTCCATATGGGGGTGAAGGGTATTCTGATTAAGGTTCTCATTGGCAGGATCAAAACCTTGATACAGATAGAGCTTCTCAGTTTTGATGCTTCTGTTCCCATATTCCATCACATGAGATCCAACAAAATACGTGTTATAGTTGGAAGTTCGGTCTTTTACCTGGACAAATGAAGAGAACATTCCATTTTAGCTATATGATAAGAATTAGCTATTTGAGTACACATACTAATTAAAAGATGATCCTATTCATAGAGCATGAAGTTCAGAAAATAGTTTGTGATCTACATCTTACATTATGATATTGTTGTCGTAATGTTTCTTTCTTCAGATTGTGAGTTTCACTGCAGAAAGCAAGAAAAAGAAAAATAAAACAAAACCAAATATGAGTGCTACATATCAGATGACTGCCTCTCACTACTTCTCACTCTGCACTTCATGAATTCAGATAAAGTTGTTGAAATTGAAACAATGTTAGTATCCTTCCCTGAGTAGGGTCCATGCTGAGTCACCCTAGTCAACAATACATTACTAAGATTGTTAACCGAAGCTGCAATTCTTCTGTAGCTCCAGGAAACAGTCAACTTGATACAAATACAAGAACAACAGCACCTGGAAAATACGGAAAGCCTAGCAAAGTATTTCCATGGCTTTTGCATGCACACTTAACTGAACCATCTAAGTCACCATTTCCAGGGGCAAGTTCTGCAAAGTTTAGCAGAACTGTTCCACCAAATGGCCTCAAACTGAACTCCTACTCAACATGAATTCAGAGAACAATAAATAGGGCGACCAGAGTGCAATGTTCAAGAACCTTAATAGTTGACATAATCTCAATACACCACCCAAACGTTCTTTCAAGATAATGGCATGGGAAAAATGAAAACCAAATTAGATGATAGTAACAAATTAATGTACCATATAAAGCACTTAGAGAAGACAATGAAAAGCCCACCAAGGAGGGGGAGAGGGGGCACAAAAGAAGAAACAAAGAGTAGAAGTAAATTTTGGAAACTTAACCTGAGATTTGTGAAACTTTTAGAAGCCTGTCCAGGAGTTTCTCCTCAGGTATGACCTTCACCCCTTAACATTTTAATATCAACACCAATTGCCTCCCTTATTAAGAGCTTGTTACTTAAGATGACAAAGATATCAAAGGTCATTTGATGAGTGCATTTTAAGTAATGTTCAAAAAATTCTTTAAATCAGCAGTGGCCAAAATAGAAACAAATATTGATTTAAGATGTTTTTTCATGAAGGGCATTTGATGTTTTGTCACCTTGAATACACATTGTCAAGAGAGACAGGTAACTGATGCTAATCCCAAAATGTCAGGGGAGTCAAGGATATTTGAGAAATCCAATAGAGGTTTTATAAGGGAGGTTGCTGAAATATACTGAGAATAAAAAGTTCTCTACATTGAATCATAACAACCCCGGGATTGGACCAAGAGTTATGCCATAGGGCAAATTTTCAACTAAAGATCTCCTGTGACAAGCAAAATAGATCACTGTACACAATACAGTAACACTCAATTGTTTAAATTCATGGTAAATATCTCTATAGTTTTTGTACAATTAATAATAAGAGAAAGTTAATGGATACTATTTAAGAAACTCAAGAATCATAGAATCACTAGCTAAATAGTGGGACAGCATAAAAAGAGTCAAATCAGTTCAATCAGATAGCCATGTTTACAAACTGCCACCAACTTCTCACGTTAGAAAGTGATGGCAAAGTGTACCTGTCTTCCATCCATGCTACGCTGTACAAGTCCCCTAAACAAGTTAGGAATTCTGGGGATGGAGAAGGTTCCATTCCAGGACAATAAGTGCCAAAGCTGCTCTCCTCAGCATTTGATGCTGTTGTTACATAAATATTGAGATCTTCAGGCATCATACCTTCAAAAATACTCCCACTCTCACAAGCTTCTACATATATAACCTGCATGTACACAACATAAGTATCATTGTAACGCACAAAATTCATGCCCTGCAGTTGGGGTGGGGGTGGGGGGGTAGGGTGGGGATGTTTCTCTCACCATCTCTTTGTAAGTTCCTGCTGCATGTTTCTTCTTCAATACCTCAATGAAATCAACAGCATAGAGGAAAGGCATATTAGGCATTCCTGAAATAAAATGGGAAGGGTATTATTAGACTTCTAAGGCCGACCACTAGTCTATATTTACATTAGTACAGGATGCTTTTACAGTGAATGGTGTATAAAACTTCTGGTAATTTATTGTGATACATGTGCAATTTTCTGTTCAGAACATCAGGTACAATTCCAAAGCAATCTAATTAACAGTTTTAATTATATCAAATATGTTATTATGTTATATATGTAATAACATTAAAAAAAACTGTAATCCCTAGATACTGTGGCCATAATCGCCTGTAGTCGACTTGTCCACAATCATTCTCAAGGCTTAAGGCCTTACTTCATCAAATGTTAGGTAAAACTGTGGTGCATAATCAAAACTTTAAACAAAATTTTGTAAAGAAAAACACAAATTTCCATTCTATTATACCCATAAACTTGGATTGAAATCAATATGCACAATGTTCTATAAGAGTTGTTGTAGATGGAAAAAGGAAAGGTTTCTCATACTAACCAAGCACACCTGGGCCTCCGTGGTCGGAGTAATACAGGAAGATTCTGTCATTTGGTTTGCTATCAATAACCTTACCACTTCCACCTTGTACAGCATTCTTATCGCCAAGAAGTACTGCATATAGGTTATTAGCAGTGACATGCTTTCCAGTATAGTCCTGCCATTGCAAAAATACAACAAAATAAGAATGAAATATCAAGTAATTTATCTTAATCAGAGTGGGGAAACAGATCACTATATATAGAGGGTCTAATCAACCACTAAATGAATTGGCTAAGAAATAAATTTATATTAAAAGTGGCTAAAACCAATAATTCAATAAATTGGCTGAGAGTGAGCCACCTTATGATTCTGAAAATGAAATGGCTTCTTTGAACTTTTGTTCTCATGATGGTAAGGATCCTATTGTCCCCACAAGCAGAAGATATTATTACTATTTAAGCTGCTTATCAATGGATATTATCTTGCAAGTCTATGCATAAACTGATAGACATCTCTACTTTCAAAGTGATTTCCTGGATGTAGGGGTATCAATTGGACCGAATTTCCAATCCCATCCGGCCCAAAATGAGTCTATTACAGATGGACCAGGTCCAATCCAATCCGCTGAATACTTTGAACCATTTTGGACAGGTCCAACTCAATGTCTGGACCATCCATTCTGTTCAAATTGGTTCCAACCCAAACCTGGTTCATTGACACCTATCCATCCATCCAATCCGTCCAAATTGATTCAATTTGGACAGGTCCAAYACAAAACCGGTCCATTGACACCCCTACCTGGATGCATCAATGCTATTCACTCTTTTTAGGCTGTGTTCCACAGCCTCATTCTTCTCATAATAAAAGCTTAAGAAATGAGAGCCAGTTTATTCAGTGAGTGGTTTGAAGAGACCAACATTTGGCAACATGTGAAGGATTCCTGCTCTTTACGGTCCTTCACTTCTCCATACAGCTCGAGTAGCAAGTAGGTCTGTCATCGGATTCAAAAAAGTCCGAAATCCAATCCTCTCATACGATCCGATTATGTCAGATTTGGGTAATGGTTTACATAATCGGATCATAGGCAAATTTAACCCCATCTCCGATTATTTCATAATATAGTATGGATGGGGACAATATATACAATTTAACTCACGTATAATAAATTCATAGATTTCATATTTATATTAATTTATGATAAGTAAATTAAAAAGTAACTAGTTTTTTGTGTTTAAAATTTCCCTTGTATTTTTTAAATAAAATATGATGCAAAGTTGGATTAAATCCCAATCCGACCGATTTCGGATTGGATTCGAATTTCAGTTTTTATTAGTCGGATCAGATTTGGATGTTTCCGAATGTGATCCGAACAGCCCTAAGCAAAATCATGTGTCCATGCCCCTTTGGCCCTTTCTAATCAATATATTAACTTGGCAAATGGTGATACCTAGGTCTAGGTAAGAATCAAATATACATTAAGAAATACAAACGGATTACTCAATACACTGAAGTCATTTTTCAAATATATATATTGAATTCACAAACAGTTTAATGGGCCACTGACTCGGTGGCTTGGTGATCAATTGTAATTGGGCTGGGTTTTGATCCATATAGTAGAATAATAAACGCATGCTACCTAATTGAAACAAGCTCAATATATTTGCAATTATATTTGTTATTTTATTTTAATAAGAAAGAAAACATCATCCATCAGCTTAAAAAAACACATTCTCTTTGTAAGATGGTAATAATTCCAATCCAACGGTTCAAGGAACCTTTGCGTGATTGGAGTAAAGTGTACTACCAATACATACCTTAGGAACGCCAGCATAGACATCAGGACCTTGGGGATGGTTGATGATGACACCTGGCTTGGGATTGAACTCACTGTAGGCAATGTCATCGTACATGAACACCACTATGTTCTCCTCCTTCAACCCTCCTTTCCTCAGCAGTTGATAAGCATGGCAGACGTCCGCCTGCATCCATACGCCACACACGTAAGCCAAACGCCAACACTCACACGAACTCTCACTACTCAGGCTGCGATTCTACAGAGTAGTAGCTTAGCTTCACTCGGACGCTTTCCTATTTCCTATTTCCTAATCCCCTTACCTGGTGCCGATAATTCCCGAAACCCGAAGAACCGGCGACGAGAACGGCCCAAGTCGTGCCGACTCCCTCTCCGTCCTCTTCCCCCTCTTCCCTCTGCGTCGACATTTTGATCCCGGAATCCCACCTTTCCAATCGAACTGCTCCACCGCCTCCGATGCCTTCGAATAGCATTAGCAAGAGCAAGACCGCCACCGAGCTGACATTTAAAACAAAGCGATTATTTGCCGATGAATTCGCCATTGAAGAATGGGTAAGCCAGAAATGGAGTAGGGGTTGCACGGACTATGGATTTACTAAGGCCGAGACTCTACTCATAGAGTCATAGGCAAGCAGAGAGAGAGACAGAGAGATGAAAAGTGACAACGGAAACCATGTACCGCATCTTAAAATGGGTGTAAGCGCCGAACAGTAGCGTCAGGGTCAGGCGCCATGCAAGAAGGATACATGTGAAGACAACGCGTGTACAAAAGGCCTTGAAACTGGAACAAAAACGTGGCCCTGGGTGAGTGTGTTCCGATCAGTCGGCGTTAAGCACTTTGAGCTTGGCCTGTTGGGATTTGGGATTGCCTCGGGTCTGAGGCCACACGGCTGGACAGAAATTGCCTCTCGGATCCCAGAGTTGCCAAGTGTTATATAAAGAGAGAGAGAGAGAAAGAGAGCCATACGAAAAGGTATCAACTATCAAGTATCAATCCATCAGAAAATGCCCAGACAGTCAGACTAAGATCAGCATGATCAGTAGATTGATGTCCTGAATGCAATTCAGTGAAGTGATCTTTAGTATAATGTGCCAAGTACACCTGTTCATGTATCGGACCGGGCCGAGATTTTGTGCAGGTCCGAGCCTGAGCCTGGCCCGACCATCGGGCTTAGAGGTTGAATCCGAGCCTAAGCCTGACATTTATATAAAGCCTCAGCTTGAGCCCGAGCCTGACATCTATATAAAGCCCGAAGCTTGAGTTCGAGCCTGAAGTTTGATCTGAATATAAAATGTTTTATTTTTAGTGTATTTTTATAAATTCATATTATATTAATTTAATAATAATTTAATAATTAATAAATTAATTTATATTTCCTAATAGTAAATTAATATGTATCAATAATTTAAGAAATATATATTTATTATATATAATATATATGTTCTTTTGTAATATGTAATAGTATTGGGCCGAATTCGGGCTTGGGCCCGGGCCGTACTTATTTGAGAAAGCTCGAACCTGAGCCTATGGGCATAAAATTTTGTCCAAACCCAAAAAATAACGGGCCGGGCCAGATTGGGCCATCGGGCTACTCGGCCCATGAACAAGTCTAATGCCAAGTGACTCAATTGCTAAGGTGAGACTTCGGGAATGAATGCCACCTTTCACCCACTCGGGATTTCCTACTCACTTTTCATACCCACTCTCTACTTGCTGTAAATTGAAGCCACACATTTCTATTATGAATTGAGAGATGTGTGACTGTAATTTACGATGGGTAAAGTGGGTAGAAAAAAAAGGGGGTTTTATAGTTCAATCCACCCTTAGGGTGGAGCTAAAATTTCAAGGATGGATTAGATCCTGCCCGTGGATTGATGCTAGATTCACGGACAGGATGCGGTTTGCGATTTATCGAAAGACTACTAATAAACTAGGAGGGAATTGCAATTCAGATTTCTGAGATAGATTGCAGTCTACTTATCCCCTAAAAAAATGAGTTAAAGGGTTATGGGTTTGGAGAAGCGGTTATTACTTATTTGTGTTCGTGCCTCAATAAAGCTAAAAAAAGCGAAGCATGTTTTCGAAGTTTGAATCATCTTTGACTCGGACGGTTGAACCTAGAACCGTTCTAGTCAGTGATCCGTTGATTCAATTAGTCGAATTACCGATTTGTTCAACACGGAGAATCATAAAAATCTTTCCTATAATTTTATTGTAACAAATATTTTTCCTGAACTTTTGATAAATTTGACAAAAACCACCAACCTCATTGATCCATACAAAAAACGTTAGTTGATGCATTAATTTTTTAAATACCAATTTTATCCTTCTATCATTGTCAAGTCAAACATCACCAATAAAAGGCACATCATTCCCCAGTTGATCAATCCTCTGAGAGGATTAGAACTTTGGGTACAAGGTGAGGAACTTGGAGAGGATTCGTGAAGGTCAGGTATGGACTCTTCAGTTTCAAAGCTTCGCTCGGCAGCAAGGGATGTGGCACGGAGGAATTCTTTCTGGGAATGGAGCCTAGCAGGAGATCTTGACCTCCCGAAGCTCCCATCTTTATTGGAGAATGCATGGGAATCTACGTCTTGCGATTTAGAGGGGACCCATCTTCTGATGCCTCTTCGAGTGTTGTTTTCCTACAACTTCCGGAGGATCGAGGGCTTTCACTTTTCTTCCTTTATCAAACCACAACCATCTCTTCTTCTACTCTTCTTTTCCAGGATTAGGACCACACAGTGAGATATAGGTTTCCATAGTGAAAAATGCATGAAAGCTCCCCTTTCACAAACCAATCCATAGAAATGAAAACAACCCGAGTTCACCAAGGCTTTAGCCCATTAAACAAAACTTTAATAAAATGGGTTCAGTTTCAGACCCTACCAGGTTCAACAGAAGGCAAAATGGTATCAGGACTTTCCCAAAACCAAACCTCTGTTTCAAAAATCAAAATCTTGGTGCAAGGAGGGAAGATGACAGAAATTTAGCAACATTCCTGAACTTTAACTGGGCCGAGGGGTCTTTACTTTTTATCCAAAGTATTCATACAGACCCAAAATATTCTTCCACTACCACAATTTTAACTGGATAATGAATACTTATGTGAAGACGATGGCGCCAGTGCCATTGCCGTTAAGAGTGGCAAATGGGAGGGTTGGGTTGGATTGGTTTAGGGTTGAACATCAACCCACCCTATTGACTCACCAACCCACACAGGACACATCATCAATACTAGTTAAAGGGTCATAACCCACCCTAACTCTAATTCACCCTGACCCATCCATAACTCACTTGACCATCATATTGACTTTTAACCACCCTCACCTATACYAACTCCCCCACCTTTCATTTATAAATACAAAAATGGGTAGGGATGACCCGTATATACAAAATATTAAATTCTGAGAGAATAATCTCTCTCAAGACTATCATGTGACAAAAACGAGTCAGGTCAACCTATAAACCCGAAAAAGCAAAAATAGAAGATAAATACAGAAAATTGAAGAAAATTTGCAGAAAATGCAAAAAAATATAAAAAAATATAAAAAAATACAAAAAATACTAAAAAATTATAGAAAATGCAAAACTTTTGTAGAAAAAATCAGAAAATATGCAAAACAATACCAGAAAATTGTAGGAAATGCATGAAAAATGCAAAAAAAGCACCAAAAATTGTAGAAAATGCAGAAAAATACTTAAAAATTACAAAACAAATGCAGAAAATTATAGAAAAATTGCAAAAAATGCAAAACTTTTATAAAAGTGCTTTCGAAAAAGTACTTTTATGTAAGTACTTCTATAAAGTTTTATGAAAGCGCTTTTGTGTAAAAATACTTTTGTAAAACTGCTTTTGTAAAAGTACTTTTGTAAAAGTGCTTTTATAAAAGTGCTTTTATGCTTTCATAAAAGTGTTTTCATAAAAGTACTTTTATAAAAGTGCTTTCATAAAAGTAGTTTTATAAGTGCCTCTATGCTTTCATAAAAGTGTTTTCGTAAAAGCACTTTTATAAAGTGCTTTTGTAAAAGTACTTTTATAAAGTGCTTCTCGTAAAAGCACTTTTATAAAAGTGCTTTTGTAAAAGTACTTTTCGTAAAAGCACTTTTATAAAGTGCTTTTATAAAAGTATTTTTGTAAGTACTTATCTAAAAATGCCTTCATAAAAGTTCTTTTCATAAAATTACTTTGTAAAATTGCTTTTGTAAAAGTGTTTTTGTATAAAATTGCATGTGAGCGCGAAAGGTATTAAAATCTATTTTATTTCGCTTTAATTAACAAAATGAAATTTGGCATAATAGTTTGGAAGTGGAATCAAATGTTTGCACATTAGGGGGTTTGAGTTTGAATCACCATAGCTTTTAATTTTTGAGATTTGGCGAGTATAGGTAGAATTGACTTTGACCCAACCCATCTTGACCTGCATGACCCAACCCATCCTGACCCTAATGGGTACCCTCAACCCAACCCACCCTAACCCTTTTCCACTAATCCTAATGGGTTGCTCGATACATATTGACCCATCAATAGATTGGGTGGGTCAAATGGGTTGGGGTCAAAATTGCCAGCCTTACTTGTCGTGTGGGTGGTTAGTGACATTTTCAGTCTCGATAGTGACAGAATGGTAAAATTGGTATTTAAAAGAAATTAATGCATCAGTTAATGTTTTTCGTTTGGGTTAGTGATGGAGGGGAAGTTTTTATTGAATATTTCAAAAGTTTTAAGGGAAATATTTGTTATAGTGAAACTGTAGGGGAGATTTTTATGATTGTCAAAAATTTTAGGGGTTTTTGACAATCATAAAAGCCTCCCCTTTATTTTTAAAAAAAATTGACAAATACCTCCCCTTAGGTGTCATTAGGTCAATTTGCAAAATTCTATATTTGCCCTTAATAACCCTACTAGTTATACAATGATATTACTAGATATATTCCACCATCCGTTTTTCCGACAACTGTACTTCACCGAAGACAATCATTTATCACCATTCTTCATCGAAGACTATTATTCTATTCATTCTTTGAGAAACTAAATCATTTTTCGCTCTCTAAGAATCTAGAACTTTCTTCATCAGAGGTTATCATCATTCTTCATTAGAGACTATTTTGTTGTTCATTCRCTRAGAATACAAACGGTTCTTCACTAGAGACCTCCATTCTTTCTCTGTTCTTCACTAAAGACTATTGTGCTTTATAGAACCACACTGGTACCACCCTTTTGGGAATAGACGGGTGAAGACGATTGCCCGATACCACGTGCTCTCCCAACAATAATGACACTGGATGAGAGAGAGAGAGATGTGGGCACTGGAAAGAGGAAAAAAAAACAGGTGCCCCATCGCTTCCTGACTACAAAACCAGAAGTGGATTCGGAGCTTTCGGGTACCAAACCAACAACTTTGGCTTTAGTTTGGACCCACATTTTACCATCTTAATTAATGCATTCTCAACAATGCCCCTACCCTTACCAATAATTTGCAATGCATCTCTTGCTACAGGTCTACTATTTCACACAACTTCGAGGGTTTTTGTTTATTCTTCTCACCTTATAAGGAATTGGTCTATCCGTTCGACGCTGTTCTAAATGTACCCATCCCCTTCCTCCCCAATCCTCTTATCCTTTTGTTGCTAAAGAAAAGGTCAAAGAGATCATTGGATTTTGTTTTTCAATCGGTGATAGCTATTTTCTGAGTGGTAATGGATGTAATGTCGCGACCAAGGATTAAAGTGTCGGTATTAGGTATCGTATTGGACCACTCGGATACGGATATGCTTTGGAAATGCATGGATACAGACGAAAAAATATGGATATGCCAAAAAATGCATATAAATTCCATAAAC